AGAAGGTTCTGTCCATTCTGGTAAGCCACTCATTAGCATACACATTAGTTTTTTCTCGATGGAGGGCACTTTATTAGTTTTTTTTTTACAGCAATTTATGAATCTTTACCTTTGCTTTTGACACCGCCCTGCCAAGCAGTCAGCCTCCCTTTGCTAGGGCTGGTTTCCATCAATGTTTAAATGTATCTCATCTTTTATTATCTGAAGTGCTTTGTGGTGCAGTTGTCATGGTTTGTATCTGATGTGTAGTATAGAGCTGTTAAAATAAGAGTCTAGTGAACCTTGTCTTTTGTTCAATCATGGCCCTTTGATACTGGAAGCATGCACTCTATTGGGATTCCATGTTTAACCTCCAATCTTGTGCAGCTTCTGACAACTTGGTGTAAGGGAATCTAGTTGTTCATAGTGTGGGTATGTTGTTTTTGCAGGTATGCATGGTGCTTGCATGATTTGTTTAAGAGTTTTTTATTTGTGCTTGTAATTCACTAATCCTATCCTTGAGTTTTGTATTCGTAGATGCGCTCTGGGTTGGTTATTCCCTGTGTTGTTTTGGGTAAATATAGAGTGCTCCAGGTCGGCAAGTTGTACCTAAGCTACTCTCTCCTATGTGCAGGTTATTTATGTATTGTTCCAGTCACAGTATTGTATCTTTTTGTTATTTCTGTGTAATCATGTTTCTCATATGAAATTTTTTTGTTTATATCTTTTTTTCTTAAGTACATGTACAAGGTATACATGTCTAGTTAACATCAATGACATACTACTATATAGAAGTTCCCTTGTTATGCAGAGCACTTCGGCAAATTATGTCAGTTTGTCTCAGGATGCGACCCGGGGGGGGGGGGTTCACCAGTCATTTATACACTAGGTACCCCACTTTTTTGGCTGATGGGTGAACATGGACAACCAGTGTAAGGAAACACCCCAGTGTTTTTCTTCTCTAACCCCACCTGGAATTGAACCAAGACTCTGGCGTGTGAAGCAAGAGGCTTTGCCACCTAGGCCACAATGTTGGGGTCCTACTGACATCCTCCATTGTGCAGTATTTTTACATGTACATAACATAAGCTGACTTCTTTTGTGGGCCTTGTTGTTTCAGGTGATATTGGCCCACTACACTAGGGTGTGTAGTGTCTTACATGTGCATAGGGTTAAGTAGAGTCCTTGTGTGGGTCATTTTATATTGGGTCATGCTACTCCACTGTAGAACTGTATATATTTTTTACATGGTCATACCATACACTAGTCTCTTGTTTGGGCACAGTAGTGTCAGCTTGTATTTGCAGGAGTAGAGCAAACCTTGTGTCATCCTGTCTTCAGTATTTAATCTGCCATACAGCTGTAAAAACTTTATGATAATTTCCTCTTGTAAACTTTCATTGCTATATCATTCCATTTACAATAAAACTTTCTATTTTTTAGACAGCTCTTGGTAATAGTTATAGCCATTTATTCTGCCAGTTGATAGGGTTAGGAAGGCTTCCTTGTCAATTCTTTAATTTTTTCAACACGCCGTCCATCTTCCACTGAGGCAGGGTGACCCAAAAAAGAAAGAAACACTTTCACCATCATTCAACACTTTCACTACCATTCACACATAATTACTGTCTTTGCAGAGGTGCCCAGATATGACAATTTAGGTGTCACTCCAAACAACCAATATCTTAAATCCCCCCTTTAAAGTGCAAGCATTGTACTTCCTACCTTCAGGACTCGAGTCCGGCTAACCGGTTTCCCAGAATCCCTTCACAAAATTTTACCCTGCTCACACTCCAACAGCTCATCAAGTCCCAAAAACCATTCATCTCCATTCATTCCTATCTAACACACTCACACATACCTGGTACATGTCCAGGCCTTTTACGACACGCATGGCTTATGTAGGAAGAATTCTGACTCAGTAAACTTATTCTTCTATACGTTTTACAATCTCTTTTGTCCCACTTTCCCATATATAATGGAATTATACATGCTCTCTGCCAATCCTGAGGTATCTTCCCCTCTTTCACACATTTACTGAACAAAAATACCAACCACTCGAAAACTATATCGCCCCCTGCTTTTAACATTTCTGTCATGATTCCATCAGTTCCAGCTGCTTTACCCCCTTTCATTGTACCTAATGCCTCACGCACCTCCCTTACACTCACGTCTGGCTCCCCTTCTTTCATATCCTGTTTTAATCTTGAATGTGGTTATTATGTCTCCTCTTTTCTTTGTATCAGCCAAAGATAACTTTTTCCTTATATCAGCCAAAGATATCTCCAGTTTCTTTAGAATATCTTCATAGCTCATATTTTTAGCTCTGAGATTTATTTTTTACCTTGTCTTTGAACTTTTTCTAGCTTTCCCACAAGTTCTTTTAGGTGTGGATAGTGTACTTCAGTGTATATTTGCCAGTACCACATGTTGTGAACAGTCATTTTTCTGCTCTTGGCAGTCAGCCATTTTCCTGGGCCTTCACTGTTGCTCCATGTTGCCCTTTGGGGCCTTGTGCCTGTCTCATCTGCTTGGAGTCCTTGTCAATGGATTCTCCTATACTTTTCTAGCTGCTGGTGGGCTCGGAGCCAATATTTGTATTAACCTTCTTGGCATTGCTGTTATTTTGTCTATGGCACATTTATGCTGTGGCTCATCTCTGTCTCCTTGCCCTTTCGTGCATGGATGCTCTTTAATCTCCCACAGCCCATACTGCTCCTTGGCAATTTGTAGGTTTGGACCTGGTAGCCCACATCCTTTTGCCTCGGCTTTATGGCTTGTTCTCCAGCAAATTATGAATTCTTGGGTGATTTTTTTTTTTTCAACGTCGGCCGTCTCCCACCGAGGCAGGGTGACCCAAAGAAAAAGAAAATCCCCAAAAAGAAAATACTTTCATCATCATTCAACACTTTCACCTCACTCACACATAATAACTGTTTTTGCAGAGGTGCCCAGAATACAACAGCTTAGAAGTATATACGTATAAAAATACACAATATATCCCTCCAAACTGCCAATATCCCAAACCCCTCCTTTAGAGTGCAGGCATTGTACTTCCCATTTCCAGGACTCAAGTCCGGTTATATAAAATAACCGGTTTCTCTGAATCCCTTCACTAAATATTACCCTGCTCACACTCCAACAGATCGTCAGGTCCCAAATACCATTTGTCTCCATTCACTCCTATCTAACACGCTCACGCACGCTTGCTGGAAGTCCAAACCCCTCACCCACAACGCTTCCTTTACCCCCTCCTTCCAACCTTTTCGAGGACGACCCCTACTCCGCCTTCCTTCCCCTACAGATTTATACGCTCTCCATGTCATTCTACTTTGATCCATTCTCTCTAAATGACCAAACCACCTCAACAATCCCTCTTCAGCCCTCTGACTATTACTTTTATTAACCCCACACCTTCTCCTAATTTCCACACTCCGAATTTTCTGCATAATATTTACACCACACATTGCTCTTAGACAGGGCATCTCCACTGCCTCCAACTGCTTCCTTGCTGCAGCATTTACAACCCAAGATTCACACCCACATAAGAGTGTTGGTACTACTATACTTTCATACATTCCCTTCTTTGCCTCCATAGATAACATTTTTTGCCTCCACATATACCTCAATGCACCACTCACCCTTTTTCCTTCATCAATTCTATGATTAACCTCATCCTTCATAAATCCATCTGCTGACACGTCAACTCGGGTGATGTACACATTATTTTCTTTCCTCTGGGGTTCCTGCCCCAGCATCCTCTTTACACTTGAGGTGGGTCTGTCTGCTCTGTGCCATGTGTCATGTTTCCAGATTTTTGTGTGACTTAAGCAAGTGAAGGATGGTCCTCTGAGCACCTCTTCCCTTCACTGCACACCCTAAAATATTGGCTACATATTCTTAGGCTGGGATTCCATATGCTCTATTGACAGTTTCCAGGACAAAGACAGCAGTTCTCAGTTAGGTCACTGTTCTCACCAGGGCATCCAAGCCTGATGAGGTTAGGTCTTTTAATGCACAGCTAAACTTCTATAGCCCCAGCACCTTATACCAGGAACCTCTTGCAGTCTAGTGGTTTAAAGATTTGGGGTGCTTGGCTCTAAGGACTATCAGGAATACCTGTTATGAACCATACAGGTGTATTTGTGTCCTTAACCTTTTTGATTGTACTTGCATTCTTATCTGATGCCTACAGTTCTGGTGCTTGTGTGAATGCAATGGCAGGGTCTTTTGGCCTCACAGGATGTCTAGGCATACTGTATTCCAATGATGGCTCAGTCGTGGGCCAAGTATAGAGAGCCTCTTTTACACTGTTTCTGGTGTGATTTTTTAGTGTCAAAATAAACTGACTTGTGAGTTTCTTGTTTATACTAATTTGTGAATGAAAGACTTATTTGAGAAGCTTTGATTAACACTTGTTTCATTCAGTGTATCCTACTTATGCCTTTCTGGTTTGTGCTTTTTTGTTTTATACCTGCTTTGATTTTGCCTCTATGTAACAACTGCTACCTCCATTATGATTATCATTGAAACCTCTATGGTCCTTAATAGATTAATATGTTCTGACTCGAGAAAAGTGTATGTCACCTAAACCATACCCCGGCCGGGATTGAACCCGCGGTCAGAGAGTCTCAAAACTCCAGACCGTCGCGTTAGCCACTAGTCTGGAGTTTTGAGACTCTCTGACCGCGGGTTCAATCCCGGCCGGGGTATGGTTTGTTTGCAATCGTGTCATTACGATTTCGTGAGTCATGTATGTCACCTCTTCCCATAATTGTCTTGTTTCCAGATGCCAGTTGCATTGCTATGGTTTGATGGTCTCAACTGATTTGTGTGCTCTACAACATTCAGATAATGACTGTTTGAGAAGTCAGATTAAGGCTTGAGTATCTCGGACCATACTGGCATTATCTGAGGTAATAGTTAAGAAAAGGTGTGACATACAGTATTAAAAGGTAGTGGTGTATTCCCACAGATATGTTTTTCAAACTTAAGTTTTATGATAGATTTATATTTTTCAGGTTCTCACAGTCCAGCATCCTCTTGAAGAATCAAGAGAAACTTTAGCATTTGCAACTGAGCCAGTGTTTGCATCATTAGCAAATGTTCTTGGAAATAGTGACAATATGCCTATACCCCCACCACTTAAGCTAAAAGATTACAAACTTTATGATGTTGAAATTAAGTATGGTTTGATGCAGGTAAGTGTTGGAGTGAGGGGGAGGGAAAGTGTGTGTGACAGTGGGAAGAATGAAAGAAGGTAAAGTAGCTGGGATAGATGGGTTTAAGACAGAGATGGTAAAAGCAGGTGGGTATACAATGTTAAAGTAGTTGGTATGTTTGTTCAGTATATGCCTGACAGAAGGAAAGGTACCAAAGGATTGGTAGAGAGTATGCATAGTTTTGTTGTATAAGGAAAAAGGGGTCAGGAGAGAATGTAAGAATTATAGGGGATAAGCCACCTGAATATACATTGTAAAGTTTATGGTAGGTTTATTATTGAAAGGGTTAGAGGTAATGTTACAAATTGCACTCTGTCAGGCCAGGAGTCCATCTCCTAACCTGACAGGAGCCTGTTTCAGTGATTGTAACACTAAAGTACAGTTACTCTCTGGAATCAGTTAAATAAGCAATTCATAATATTTTCAGTAAATGGCAAGGGAGAATGAAAAGAGAGACAAACTTTTAATAAAACTTTGCAGTGAGTAATGTACAGTACAAGATTCAGGAGTTATTGTGTACATTGACAAATGTCCAGATAGTAAACAATATGTCCAACTAGAATATAATAAAGAGCAATGGACGAACCATAACCTTACCAACTGTAGGAGAAACTTCCACCTAGGAAACAGTCCATAGTAAAACTACACACATTTAAAGAAAAGCAAAGGTAGTATGGGAGTAATAGGCCAAGAATTCTAATATCAAAAAATGAGAAACTTTTTGATATAAAATTGTATTTTGCAGGTTAGTGAAGGATTGGCCTTTTTACATAATTCTGTGAAGATTGTCCACTGTAATGTCTGCCCTGAAAATATTGTGCTAAATCATCAAGGTGCATGGAAGCTCTTCGGATTTGACTTTAGTGTGGCTAATCAAGCATCTCCAGATCAGCCTGTAAGTCACTAAAGGATCTTTACACTATAGTGGAACGTAGAGTTGTGCCAAATAGACGTCAGTTAAACTCAGCTTGCCTGACAAAAATCATTATGAAAATCTAAGCAAAATTTTCAAGGGAAAATTTACTGGAGAAAAGATACAGAAGTGTTTAGGGTTTGAAGTCAGTTGAAGCAGGTGTTCTCAGATAATACACAAATGCTTCGGAGGAAGAAAAAAAAAAGAATAATTTTAATCACTCATTTAGAGACACAGTAGAATATATCAAGTTGCACATTCATAACTTGTTTGTCAAATCTGAAATTGTCATAAAAATAAAGGACATTTATGATTTAGCAGATAAAGTTCCTTATATCTGAAATTAATTTGTCCAGCAGATCAGAAGAATAATGAGCAATTCTGCTTCCGAATATTGTTCAGCCACAGATTTTGTTTGTTAAATCTGAAGTCCATTTAATGGGGGTCTGTTAAATCAAGGTTCTACTTTATTTGTGAACGAATGATGAGTATTGTTCTCAAATGTATTTCAGTCTTCATAATTCTCAGTTGATGTGATATGAAAGATTTCATTAACTTTGCTGAGAAATGTGAATTTTTTCCTCAGCCATATTGGCCATTTGAAGAGTATGATTCAAGACGACACCCTAATTGCCAGCCTCATCTCAACTACTTGGCACCTGAGTATGCACTCACTCACACATTGGACACTGCTGCTGACCTTTTTTCACTGGGAGTCATCATTTATGCACTCTTTAATGAAGGAAGACCCATCTTTCATAACAATCAAGATTTTGGAACTTTTAAAAGAAACTGTTGTGAAGTAAGTCCAAGTTTACACACAGTATTTCTGCTTAACAAATTTTGTTTGTGGAGTCAAGTTTCAGCTCATGGGCACTGCCACTAATTGTCTGACATCATGCTTCCATATTCCCTTTTGTAGGGTGTCCAACTCAACCTCATCCTCTAGTTCATTGACTCCCAACCTTTAATTTGTGATATTACATTTCAAAATTGTTGAAACTCCTTGAAATTAAAACAACTTATTCATAATTAGGTATTTTGTTGAAACTAGAGCACCATGAAAACTGTAGTTACTTTATGTGAAAAATATAAGAATACAATCTATGAAAGCAATATTCAAACTGAGATTTTTAATATAGCTGAATACATTTATTCCTACAAAATTGGCTGAGGGTTATATTCCTAGAGGTCCTGCTAACCTAAAACTCATAAATAATGCAAAATTTAACCTGCATAGCAAATTTAGTTTCATTTTAGGCTCTTTTTGTTTTTTAGACCACATTTCTTAAATATCTCGCTGATTTGTTTAATTCACGAGAAAGTCATAAGAAATAATGATCAGTGCACAAATAACCTGTACAGACGTTACCCTACTTATGAACATTTAAGTTACGAACATTCAGACATACGAACAGACTGCCATATTAGTTTATTGTACCAATTAAAAAGGTAAGAAGTTTTTTATTATAGTATTTATTATTAATGTTGAAGGATAAGCTATGGCAGGAAAAGAGGGACTATAAATGTATTAATTCAAGGATTATGTGGAGTAAAATAAAGGTTGGATGTGAAAAGTGGGTTATAGTAAGTGTATATGCACCTGGAGAAGAAAGAAGTGTAGAGGAGAGAGAGAGATTTTGGGAAATGTTGAGTGAATGTGTGGTTGGGGATTTCAATGCTAAAGTGGGCAAAATGTTGTGGAGGGAGTAGTAGGTAAATTTGGGGTGCCAGGGGTAAATGAAAATGGGGAGTTTTTAATTGAGCTATGTGTAGAAAGAGGTTTGGTAATAAGTAATACATATTTTATGAAAAAGAGGATAAATATGCAAGGTATGATATAGCACGTAATGAAAGTATTTGTTAGATTATGTATTGGTGGATAAAAGGTTGATGGGTAGGCTCCAGGATGTACATGTTTATAGAGGGGCAACTGATATATTGGATCATTATTTAGTTGTAGCTACAGTGAGAGTAAGAGATAGATGGGAAAAGTGGAAAATGGCAACAACAAGAGGGAGGTGAAAGTGTATAAACTAAGGGAGAAGGAAGTTCAGGTGAGATATAAGCCACTATTGGCAGAAAGGTGAGCTGGAGCAAGTTTGAGCAGTAGGGGGGTTGAAGAGGGCTGGAATAGTTTTAAAAATGCAGTATTAGAATGTGGGGCAGAAGTTTGTGGTTATACGAGGGTGGGTGCAGGAGGACAGAGGAGTGATTGGTGGAATGATGAAGTAAAGGGTGTGATGAAAGAGAAAAAGTTAGCTTATGAGAGGTTTTTACAAAGCAGAAGTGTTATAAGAAGAGTAGAGTATATGGAGAGTAAAAGAAAGGTGAAGAGAGTAGTGAGAGAGTGCAAAAGGAGAGCAGATGATAGAGTGGGACAGGCACTGTCAAGAAATTTTAATGAAAATAAGAAAAAAATTTTGGAGTGAGTTAAACAAGTTAAGAAAGCCTAAGGAACGAATGGATTTGTCAGTTAAAAACAGAGTAGGGGAGTTAGTAGATGGGGAGATGGAGGTATTGGGTAGATGGCGAGAATATTTTGAGGAACTTTTAAATGTCGACGAAGAAAGGGAGGCGGTAATTTCATGCACTGGCCAGGGAGGTATACCATCTTTTAGGAGTGAAAAAGAACAGGATGTGAGTTTGGGGGAGGTGCGTGAGGTGTTACGTAGAATGAAAGGGGGTAAAGCAGCTGGAACTGATGGGATCATGACAGAAATGTTAAAAGCAGGGGGATATAGTGTTGGAGTGGTTGGTATTTTTGTTTAATAAATATATGAAAGTAGGGAAGGTACCTAGGGATTGGTGAAGAGCATGTATAGTCGCTTTATGTAAAGGGAAGGGGGACAAAAGAGATTGCAAAAATTATAGAGGAATAAGTTTACTGAGTATACCAGGAAAAGTGTATGGTAGGGTTATTATTGAAAGAATTAGAGGTAACACAGAATGTAGGATTGCCGATGAGCAAGGAGGTTTTAGAGTCAGTAGGGGATGTGTAAATCAAGTATATATGTGAACAGTATTTAGATACAGGTAAGGAAGTTTTTATTGCATTTATGGATTTAGAAAAGGCGTATGATAGAGTGGATAGAGGAGCAATGTGGTAGATGTTGCAAGTATATGGAATAGGTGGTACGTTACTAAATGCTGTAAAGAGTTTTTATGAGGATAGTGAGGCTCAGGTTAGGGTGTGTAGAAGAGAGGGAGACTACTTCCCGGTAAAAGAAGGTCTTAGACAGGGATGTGTAATGTCACCATGGCTGTTTAATTTTATTTATTTATTTATTTAATGTCTTTGCAAACAGTACATTGAGATTGTGTATATACAATAGTGGGTTGCAATGCAAAGAGAGCCTCTATTATGCCTAGGCATTATGGGCCTATGGGGTTGTAAAAGAAGTAAATGCTAGAGTGTTCAGGAGAGGGGTGGGATTAAATTATGGGGAATCAAATACAAAATGGGAATTGACACAGTTACTTTTTGCTGATGATACTGTAACTATCAGAGATTCTAAAGAAAAATTACAAACGTTAGTGGACGAGTTTGGGAGTGTGTGTAAAGGTAGAAAGTTGAAAGTGAGCATAGAAAAGAGTAAGGTGATGAGGGTATTAAATGATTTAGATAAAGAAAAATTGGATATCAAATTGGGGAGGAGGAGTATGGAAGAAGTAAATGTTTTCAGATATTTGGGAGTTGACATGTCGGCGGATGGATTTATGAAGGATGAGGTTAATAATAGAATTGATGAAGGCAAAAAGGTGAGTGGCACGTTGAGGTATATGTGGAGACAAAAAACGTTATCTATGGAGGCAAAGAAGGGAATGTATGAAAGTATAGTAGTGCGAACACTCTTATATGGGTGTGAAGCTTGGGTTGTAAATGCTGCAGCGAGGAGGTGGTTGGAGGCAGTGGAGATGTCCTGTCTAAGGGCAGTGTGTGGTGTAAATGTTATGCAGAAAATTCGGAGTGTGGAAATTAGGAGAAGGTGTGGAGTTAAAAGTATTAGTCAGAGGGCTGAATAGGGGTTGTTGAGGTGGTTTGGTCATTTAGAGAGAATGGATCAAAGTAGAATGACATAGAGAGCGTATAAATCTGTAGGGGAAGGAAGGCGGGGTAGGGGTCATTCTCGAGAAGGTTGGAGGGAAGGGGTAAAGGAGGTTTTGTGGGCGAGGGGCTTGGACTTCCAGCAAGCGTGCATGAGCGTGTTAGGAGTGAATGGAGACAGATGGTTCTTGGGACCTGACGAGCTGTTGAAGTGTGAGCAGGGTAATATTTAGTGAAGGGATTCAGGGAAACTGGTTATTTTTATATAGCCAGACTTGAGTCCTGGAAATGGGAAGTACAATGCCTGCACTTTAAAGGATGGGTTTGAGATACTGGCAGTTGGGATGATGTGTAATAGGATGGTGTACATATATGTATAATTGGGGCTCTAATATCATATTCTGTATGAAGTTTATTATATTATTTCAGGTCACTTTTTATATTGTATCTTTATATATGCTTCTAAGCTGTTGTATCTGGGCACCTCTGCAAAAACAGTGATTATGTATGAGCGGGGTGAAAGTGTTGAATGATGATGAAAGTATTTTCATTTTGGGGCTTTTCTTTCTTTTTGAGTCACCCTGCCTAGGTGGAAGATGGCTGGCTTGTTGAAAAAAAAATTAACACTTGCTGTCTCCCACTGAAGTAGGGTGACCTGAAAATGAAGAAACACTTTCACCATCACTCAATTCACCACTGTCTTGCCAGAGGTGTGCCAACATTACAGTTCAGATGCAACTACAAGCTGCAGTAACCCCACCCCTCCTTCAGAGTGCAAGCACTGTACTTCCTGCCTTCGGGAACACCAGCTAACTGGTGTTCCCGATTCACTTTATAAATGTTACCTTGTTCACACTCCAACAGCACATCTCATTAAAAAGTAGTTGCCTCCACTCTCTTCAATCTAACATTCTCACACACACACCTGTTGGATGTCCAAGTCCCTTTGCATACAAAAATTTCCTCTACTCCTTTCTTCCACCCTTTCCTGGGATGATTCCTATCCCTCCTTCATTCCACTACAGATTTATACACCCTTCAAATTATCCTGTTTTGCTCTATCATCTCTAAATGGCCAAACCCTTCTCAGCCCTCTGGATAATACTCTTAGTAACCCTGCTCAAACCTCTTTCTCTGCAGTGTTTAAATCTCATGCTTCAAACTCATTATTACATTTTATTCCCAAGTGGATATATTAATTTGTATTTTATTCAACAGTTGAAGAATCCAAATGCACTGAAGCTAACATCCATCCCAGAGGGTTTAAGGGATCAAGTGCGACTGCTACTCCATGCAACACCTCAGTTACGACCGGATTCATTACAGTTCTCCAAGGTAAAATAATTATTTAAAATTATCAGTTGTTTCATTTCAGATATATATATTTCTGCTGTGGGACCCTGGGAAAGGTCTAATTGGAAGATGTTCTGCTTATTTTTTACATAATCTTCTCTCCTAGTCCCCTTCATTGAAGGTGTCTTGATGCTGGTGAAGCGTTCTTCATCCAAGGAATTGGAACTACCCTCTCCTTTCTCAGATCAAGCCTGATTACCTCTTGTTCCCTACATATTGCATGATCCCAACAGGGTTAGCACTTCTCCATGAATATACAACCTCTCTTAGCTCCTGTAATGTCTAGGTGCTCAGTTATATCCTCAGTCACTTCTACTCTTGTGGTGACATGCAAGTCCTAGCTGTGGCTTGTGTGAGTAAACAAAGCACTTTCACCTCTACTTCTTTATTACATTCTCATCAGCTGCTGCTGCTGCTTCTACTTTGTTTAACTAGGTCATTAAGGATGTATAGGTTTTCTTAACTTACCTACTCTTTGACTTTGACTTGACTTTGACTTAACCTGTGCCTTTGTATCCCAGAGCTGTAGCATCATGTTGCTGGCCCCTCTCATCTGTATCCCACTAAAGCAGGCAGCTCACCAATATGTCATAATGTGAGGCCTATGCATTCCCCAAGGTCTCTATGTTTTCTCCAGGCATGTATCTTCTAGCCTGGCTAGCCTTCCTCCCATGCCCCTCCTAGCTTGGCTGTCCTTCCTCCCATGTCTGTCCTAGCTTGGCTGTCCTTCCTCCCATGTCTGTCCTAGCTTGGCTGTCCTTCCTTCCATGCCCCTACTAGCTTGGGTGTGCTTCTTCCCATGCCCCTCCTAGCTTGGCTGTCCTTCCTCCCATGCCTGTTTTAGCATGGCTGTCCTTCCTCCCATGCCCCCCCTAGCCTAGCTGTCCTTCCTCCCATACTCCTCTTGATCTTGTAGGCCTTTCTCTCATAGCCCTTTTTCCCTTGCCAGCCTTCCTCCCATTCTGCTTCTAGCTTTGGTGGCCTTCCTATGCCCCTAATGGTTGTTCTCAATGGCGCATAGTTTATAAGGCTGTCATTCAGTGCCAGTATTCCACAAGGCAGTATGCTTGGTCTATTGTTATGGAATGTCTGTTTCAGTGGCCTGCTTCATCTCATCCCAGAATCCCATGCCTGTGTACATTACTGTGGTTTATACCTATGCATGAAAGGATATGCCATCTGCTCTCAGGCACATTAATCCCAGTTTATAGCTATATTAACCTTGGAAAAAGCGTGGCAGGCTGTATTTACTTTTAGGATAACACAAATGATGATCTCTAGACAGTATGATGGTAATGATGGAGCTGTAGTATTAATGAACAGGAGAGTGTTAGAACCCAGGGATAAGGTGGGTATCCTAGGAGTGACATGATTTCAAATATGACTATGAAGAAGCTACCAACATTATGACATAACTCGTACCTGCTCAGCAGCAGAGGCTGCAACACTTGGCATTAGGCACAAGTATACTCTCACCTTGTGTATACACCACTTTCCTGGACTGCTTGCCTTTGTCTACTGCAAGGTGATTTGTTTTTTGTCTGAACCCAGTTTCACTGGATCTGTCATTTCAGCTGATCCTTCAAAACTGGAAAGATGTGGGTAGCCTTATTTTGTGTGTACAAGACCAATGTTATCAAAGTGCCTCACTTTGTGGATAGTGGGAAGACAGCTTCTGTTCCAAGAGAGAGGAAGGAAATTGCAACTACATTCTGGCTGTGGCCTTCACAAGCACATCACTTTATTTACAATTTTTCATTCTTAGAATGACTTGAGTCTGGAACATCTTTATACAGCTTACACACATCAGTGAAATAAAGTCAGATCTTTCTTTCAACACACCGGCCATATCCCACCGAGGTGGGGTGGCCCAAAAGGAAAAACGAAAGTTTCTCCTGTTACATTTAGTAATATATACAGGAGAAGGGGTTACCAGCCCCTTGCTCCCGGCATTTTAGTCGCCTCTTACAACACTCATGGCTTGCGGAGGAAGAATTCTATTCCACTTCCCCATGGAGATAAGAGGAAATAAACAAGAACAAGAACTAGAAAGAAAATAGAAGAAAACCCAGAGGGGTGTGTATATATATGCTTGTACATGTATGTGTAGTGTGACCTAAGTGCAAGTAGAAGTAGCAAGACATACCTGAAATCTTGCATGTGTATGAGATAGACAAAAGACACCAGCAATCCTACCATCATGTAAAACAATTACAGGCTTTCGTTTTACTCTCACTTGGCAGGATGGTAGTACCTCCCTGGGTGGTTGCTGTCTACCAACCTACTACCTAGGAAATAAAGTCAGATGACCACACAATATACCCATGGAAATGACTTCATCTTGTTCCCTAATTGTATTTTTCATAACAATAAAGGTTTTATTGTAGAGTGGGAGGGAAGGGGAGGAGTAAACCCCATGCATAGTGCCGGTTTGGCTAAACAGTATTAAAAAAATTGCAGCTTTTTTCATAGAGCAAGGAAATCTTTCATATTATGCTCCATAAAGCTAAAAAAATTAAGAACAGTAACTTGCAAAGTTGGATTGTAACCTTAATAGACTTTCACAAACTACTAATCATGCCACAAGCAGTGCTCCCACCTGCCCTAAACCTCCTATCCTTATTGCCAAGCTATAGGAAATCATGTCCACTAGAGAGCATGTTTCCAACAAAACTGGTAACAGTTTTCTCAAATTTGTATACCTTAAAAATGCTTAATTTATATAAAAAGGTTATAGATAATATTCAGTGAATCAATATTCAAGAATTTTCAGAAATTCAGTAGATTAATACTAATGGGATTTATTAACTCTAAAGGCTAGTATATTAACCCAGTAATGTACTTTATCATAATTGCATATAATTATGCATTTCTGCGGCTTTAACAGTAATGTAATTATAGCTGTAAAAATACATGTTGAACATGTTAATGAGTGATAACGAGGTATGAAAAGCTATTAAGGGAAAACATTGTGTAGTGATGGTGTGATCCTGACTGAGGTGCAGCCATGACAGATTTGTTTGCATTGAGGGGTTAATAGGGCTTCCACATCTTTCACTGTATTAAGCTGTATCGACTTAAAGTTAACACCTCTCTATATTTCCCAGACAAACTCCAACACCACTGGGAGTAGGACTCATGAAGCAAGCCCTTGTAACCTTTGAAAAACAGCAGCAACCACCTCCCATACCCTTTTTTTTTGGTGGGAACTAGTGGGACCTCCCACCCGGAGTTCCCACTAGTCCCTACTTGTACGAGCTACATTGGCTTCCTATCAAGGCAAGAATTGAATTTATACTCTATTTGTTAAAATTATAGGCTGTTATGTTTAAAGAAACCAAGTGTCTGTCTCATGCACTTGTACTTTTTACATCTGGCTTGTGAATGTTTCTACTAATTGTCATGGACCCTTTCAGACTGATTAAACTTCATTCTGGTGAGAAGAAATCATTATATAGTCTGAGAAGTATGTAGTTCTCAGACTGTATAACAGGTTGATAGTTAAGACATGTGCAATAGTTAGGTATCTTTATTCCAAAATGTTTCACCTACACAGTAGATTTCTTAAGCCAAATACAGAGGAGGCAGCAGAAACAGTAAAGATGTAAAGACGATGTAATCAGTCCATCATCTGTTAAGATTCAGGAATCTGTTAATGTTTTTATGTCTGAGTTGAAAGCACATCTCATTTCTAGAGCTTATGATCCTGATGACCATATATCACTCTTGAATTTAATAGTTATATCTTTTTATTATTGTTATTGCATTTATTTATTTATAGCCCAAGGACCTTTTTTTTTGAGTGTGTAAAGCTACTTATCCTAGAATTTTGAGTATGTTGGATTAAAACTCCCAAGCCTCTTGAAGGTGTGGTTTTCCAGCTTATGGATCTCTTGCATGGTGTGATCTATTGCTCCTTGTTATCTTTAGGAAGTTTAACTGCAGCTAGTCTGACTCTTCTATGTTTTGAGGTACAGCCACAGTACAGTACTATGCCTCTTGCATGCATTAAGATACAAGAGCTGGAGTTTTGGAATAGGGGGGATATCTCTCTAGCTAGAGATACTTCCATTACACTGGGGCTCAAAAAAAATGATATTGAGCTAATGAGGCATTTCATATTTGAAGGCAACCATCCAGGGCTCCTTATTCAGAATTGTGCTACTCAAATTAAATCATGCTTTTCTATACCTCTCTGAATCTCTGTATATAAAATATCACTGAGTCAGTATTTTTTGCCTTTGTAGACAAATATGTATTTTATCTTGCAAATGCCAATAACTGAATTTTCATAATTTTAAATTTCAGAAAATAAAAATTAGTAATTTCTTAGATTAAAAGCATGTTTACCTTCATTTTTTCAGATATCATATTTTGAAGATGTTGGAGTTAAAACATTAAGCTACCTTGACCAGATGTTTCAGTGGGATAATATCCAGAAATCACAGTTTTATAAAAGTTTACCTCAGATTATTCCTCAAATACCACACAGGGTATGCGTGTTGAGGTGAGTTAATTGTTCATTAAATTTTGACCTGCTTGTTAAAGCTGTAGGAATGATTACAGCTGTAGTTATTGTGGAGACATTCAGTTTATTTTAAATTTCCTTATGTAGCATGTCCTCTCTAGAGGTTCAGTTGAACCCTACTCCTTCCTTTTTTTGCTGTCCATAGACAAATGCTAGATAATGCCACTAATTTTGTAGCGGGTGCACAATATTTAAAGGAGTTACAGAAGAATAATGATGCACAATCTGTGTTAACCCATTGAAGATGTGCCTGGAAATTTATTACACCCAGAGTTCCTTGGCAGGATGGGTTCTGGTGAGAGGTTAGACCATCACAGTAGTGATGTAGTGGAGGTGGGACATTGATACCTATGAAGAATTCTTTTTATTTGACTTCTAGTTTCACTCTTAATTTGCTTGCTTCCAATATTACATTACTCATACTGGTCACCAATTAGCCCATCCTCCAACTTAAACATAAATTGTTGTGTTACTATCACTTTATGGAGCAACAATTCATTCCGTGTTGCAAGAGGTAAACTGTCTGTTTATTTTCTTATTAGCAGTTAACTACAGTTTATATAAAATAGGTTAATTTAAATAAAAAATAATTTTATTTTTACAATGTACATAATTGTTACAAAATTAGATGACATTTTGAAAGGCCCCTGGTTATACAGAGCATTTCAGGCATACTAAAAGTAGAACTTAATAACTATTTGACATTATGCAGTTGTGTAGTTGAAGTTAGTTTATGACTTACTGTAATAGTGGTTCCAGATGGACTGAAATGGCTTCATGAGTTTCCTTTCCTGAGTGCTTGTTATTTGTGGATTATTCGAGTACTAGTTTAATATAATTAAGTTGACCTAAGGTATGATTATTTAATGTAATGATAGTTTTAAGTAATAAAACTATATTAAAACAACAGTGTTAATATGAAGAGATAGTAGTACAAAATTGTAATGGCAGTTTTGGTTAAAATAATAATTAGTGAGGTAGAAATGTAGTGGTAAGCATGAGTACATGAATATGAATATTAATTTGAATCTGTGTAATTAGATTGTATGATATACAGCCTCTCTTCACAATAGTATAAGATAGATTTAGAAGTGCAGCAGCACTTGAAAGAGGAAAAACAAGAGGAAAATTGAAGTACAAAGGAAGTTCACTGCAAAGGGGTTAGCTGGTGTGTTCGTCTGTGTTTATATTCTCTGCGTCTTTCATGGCATCTTAAGAAATTATTAAACTCATGGAACAAGGTATGTCAATGGTAATAAAAATTATAATAAAAATAGTAAAAAAAATTATGATAAAAATAGTAGGTTGGTAGACAGCAACCACCCAGGGAAGTACTACCGTCCTGCCAGATGACTGTGAAACAGAAACCTGTAACTGTTTTGCATGATGGTAGGATTGCTGGTTTCTTTTTCTGTCTCATAAACATGCTAGATAACAGGGATATCTTGCTACTCCTACTTACACTTTGGTCACACTTCACAGACATGCACATGCATATATATATACATACATCTAGGTTTTTCTCCTTTTTCTAAATAGCTCTTGTTCTTCTTTATTTCTTCTATTGTCCATGGGGAAGTGGAAAAGAATCTTTCCTCCGTAAGCCATGCGTGTCGTATGAGGCGACTAAAATGCCGGGAGCAATGGGCTAGTAACCCCTTCTCCTGTAGACATTTACTAAAAAAGAGAAGAAGAAAAACTTTATAAAACTGGGATGCTTGAATGTGTGTGGATGTAGTGCGGATGACAAGAAACAGATGATTACTTACGTTATGAATGAAAAGAAGTTGGATGTCCTGGCCCTAAGCGAAACAAAGCTGAAGGGGGTAGGGGAGTTTCGGTGGGGGGAAATAAATGGGATTAAATCTGGAATATCTGAGAGAGTTAGAGCAAAGGAAGGGGTAGCAGTAATGTTGAAGGATCAGTTATGGAAGGAGAAAAGAGAATATGAATGTGTAAATTCAAGAATTATGTGGATTAAAGTAAAGGTTGGATGCGAAAAGTGGGTCATAATAAGCGTGTATGCACCTGGAGAAGAGAGGAATGTAGAGGAGAGAGAGAGATTTTGGGAAATGTTAAGCGAATGTATAGGAGCCGTTGAACCAAGTGAGAGAGTAATTGTGGTAGGGGACCTGAATGCTAAAGTAGGAGAAACTTTTAGAGAGGGTGTGGTAGGTAAGTTTGGGGTGCCAGGTGTAAATGATAATGGGAGCCCTTTGATTGAACTTTGTATAGAAAGGGGTTTAGTTATAGGTAATACATATTTTAAGAAAAAGAGGATAAATAAGTATACAAGATATGATGTAGGGCGAAATGACAGTAGTTTGTTGGATTATGTATTGGTAGATAAAAGACTGTTGGGTAGACTTCAGGATGTACATGTTTATAGAGGGGCCACAGATATATCAGATCACTTTCTAGTTGTAGCTACACTGAGAGTAAAAGGTAGATGGGATACAAGGAGAATAGAAGCATCAGGGAAGAGAGAGGTGAAGGTTTATAAACTAAAAGAGGAGGCAGTTAGGGTAAGATATAAACAGCTATTGGAGGATAGATGGGCTAATGAGAGCATAGGCAATGGGATCGAAGAGGTAAGGGGTAGGTTTGAAAATGTAGTGTTAGAGTGTTCAGCAGAAGTTTGTGGTTACAGGAAAGTGGGTGCGGGAGGGAAGAGGAGCGATTGGTGGAATGATGATGTAAAGAGAGTAGTAAGGGAGAAAAAGTTAGCATATGAGAAGTTTTTACAAAGTAGAAGTGATGCAAGGAGGGAAGAGTATATGGAGAAAAAGAGAGAGGTTAAGAGAGTGGTGAAGCAATGTAAAAAGAGAGCAAATGAGAGAGTGGGTGAGATGTTATCAACAAATTTTGTTGAAAATAAGAAAAGTTTTGGAGTGAGATTAACAAGTTAAGGAAGCCTAGAGAACAAATGGATTTGTCCGTTAAAAATAGGAGAGGAGAGTTATTAAATGGAGAGTCAGAGGTATTGGGAAGATGGAGGAATATTTTGAGTAATTGTTAAATGTTGATGAAGATGGGGAAGCTGTGATTTCGTGTATAGGGCAAGGAGGAATAACATCTTGTAGGAGTGAGGAAGAGCCAGTTGTGAGTGTGGGGGAAGTTCGTGAGGCAGTAGGTAAAATGAAAGGGGGTAAGGCAGCTGGGATTGATGGGATAAAGATAGAAATGTTAAAAGCAGGTGGGGGTATAGTTTTGGAGTGGTTGGTGCGATTATTTAATAAATGTATGGAAGAGGGTAAGGTACCTAGGGATTGGCAGAGAGCATGCATAGTTCCTTTGTATAAAGGCAAAGGGGACAAAAGAGAGTGCAAAAATTATAGGGGGATAAGTCTGTTGAGTATACCTGGTAAAGTGTATGGTAGAGTTATTATTGAAAGAATTAAGAATAAGACGGAGAATAGGATAGCAGATGAACAAGGAGGCTTTAGGAAAGGTAGGGGGTGTGTGGACCAGGTGTTTACTGTGAAACATATAAGTGAACAGTATTTAGATAAGGCTAAAGAGGTCTTTGTGGCATTTATGGATTTGGAAAAGGCGTATGACAGGGTGGATAGGGGGGCAGTGTGACAGATGTTGCAGGTGTATGGTGTAGGAGGTAGGTTACTGAAAGCAGTGAAGAGTTTTTACGAGGATAGTGAGGCTCAAGTTAGAGTATGTAGGAAAGAGGGAAATTATTTCCCAGTAAAAGTAGGTCTTAGACAAGGATGTGTGATGTCTCCGTGGTTGTTTAATATATTTATAGATGGGGTTGTAAGAGAAATAAATGCGAGGGTCTTGGCAAGAGGCGTGGAGTTAAAAGATAAAGAATCACACATAAAGTGGGAGTTGTCACAGTTGCTCTTTGCTGATGACACTGTGCTCTTGGGAGATTCTGAAGAGAAGTTGCAGAGATTGGTGGATGGATTTGGTAGGGTGTGCAAAAGAAGAAAATTAAAAGTGAATACAGGAAAGAGTAAGGTTATGAGGATAACAAATATATTAGGTGATGAAAGATTGGATATCAGATTGGAGGGAGAGAGTATGGAGGAGGTGAATGTATTCAGATATTTGGGAGTGGACGTGTCAGCGGATGGGTCTATGAAGGATGAGGTGAATCATAGAATTGATGAGGGGAAAAGGGTGAGTGGTGCACTTAGGAGTCTGTGGAGACAAAGAACTTTGTCCTTGGAGGCAAAGAGGGGAATGTATGAGAGTATAGTTTTACCAACACTCTTATATGGGTGTGAAGCATGGGTGATGAATGTTGCAGCGAGGAGAAAGCTGGAGGCAGTGGAGATGTCATGTCTGAGGGCAATGTGTGGTGTGAATATAATGCAGAGAATTCGTAGTTTGGAAGTTAGGAGGAGGTGCGGGATTACCAAAACTGTTGTCCAGAGGGCTGAGGAAGGGTTGTTGAGGTGGTTCGGACATGTAGAGAGAATGGAGCGAAACAGAATGACTTCAAGAGTGTATCAGTCTGTAGTGGAAGGAAGGCGGGGTAGGGGTCGGCCTAGGAAAGGTTGGAGGGAGGGGGTAAAGGAGGTTTTGTGTGCGAGGGGCTTGGACTTCCAGCAGGCGTGCATGAGCGTGTTTGATAGGAGTGAATGGAGACGAATGGTTTTTAATACTTGACGTGCTGTTGGAGTGTGAGCAAAGTAACATTTATGAAGGGGTTCAGGGAAACCGGCAGGCCGGACTTGAGTCCTGGAGATGGGAAGTACAGTGCCTGCACTCTGATGGAGGGGTGTTAATGTTGCAGTTTAAAAACTGTAGTGTAAAGCAGCCTTCTGGCAAGACAGTGATGGAGTGAATGATGGTGAAAGTTTTTCTTTTTCGGGCCACCCTGCCTTGGTGGGAATCGGCCAGTGTGATAATAAAAAAAAATAAAATATACTATTTCAGTACCTAATATTAGTGTCAGAACAAAGATTGGCTATGAAATCACAAGAACTACCATAAATTGTATTCATCAGAACATAAAA